TATTAACATTGTTATTTATTTTTTTTAACGTGTAAAAAAAATCCTAAAAACTGTTCGTTTTTTCTTTCCTTCATGGCCTGCAGTTCGCACTCCTGCTCAATAGATGGCAGTAACATAAAAGAGAAACGAACCAACTCCGGATGATTGATCGAAGAAGTCAGTTGCCCGGCAACCACGGGAAGTATCCGCAAGCTAGCTTGTTGTTAGCTGTGCTGTTGGGCAAACGCGTGGATTTTATCACGCAAAATCAATGGCATTTATTCAAAGATTGCAACTCGTCCAGAGAGAAGCGGACGTAGTCGAAAGAAAGGTTTGTTAGAAATGTTTCAGAACTTGTGCTGATAGTTCCTCGGTACGAAAAAGAAAATTTAAACACAAAATGCATTCAATGAAGCTGCGCAACGAATTGACAACCTACTCAATGAAGTTGTACAAAGGCTTCAATGTGAAAATTTCTTGTTTACCTGAATAATAATTTAAATTATTGACAGAAAAGCTGTGAGCTAGTAAACACAGTACAGTCAAGCTTAAAGCAATCAAAACTGATTGAGAGTCATATTTGTATTATAAAGATTATACACCATAATTCAGTATTTACACTGAACATTATAGTTGCTGTTTTAGCCATCCTAAACTCGTATTCCTTCAATTTACGTTTGAAACAGGTCGACAGACTGGTGAAGGATGTGAACAATACACATGGATCCAAAGAAGAGCTATTTCGAAGGTAAACATGGAGGAACAGAAGTTCTTCCTAAACACATGTTTTTTTTTCTCTGCACTGTACCTTGTTTTCATTCACATTTGTCATCATGAAACCTTTTCACTTGGTTTTGTTTTACAGTTTATTGTTTTACTAAATATTATTTCTCAACAGATGTCGGGAACTGCAGATATCAGCAGAGAAGACTCTAAAGGCACTACAGACATTAGCAAAGGTGTGTTTTATGTATCAATAAAAAGGTAGCGTGCATTTTTGTAGATGTGATGCTTAAAGTACGATTTCAGGAAATGTGTTGGTTTGACAGCAGTTTCATTAGCAAAGCAAGACTTCGTTATGAAACAAATTCATAAAGACTAAGTGATATTAAGTCTTCAGAAATGTGTTGCCTCTGTGCTACACCAGCCTGTAATAATGATTATCGAACCGTTGTTGCTAAGATGACCTCATGGTGTGATGTGCTGCTTTGTTTTCTAGGCTGATGACCGGGCTCCAGAGGAGGATATGAGATATGATCGGAAGAAACAGGCAGAGGAGAGGCGACTGAAAAAGATGCTGGAGCGTCTGAACACGCTCTCTCTGGAGCTTTCACCACCAGGTCCCAGCGCTGCAGCAGAGTCAGTACCTCTGCTCATAAAAACAAACAGAATTGATCAGAAACGTATGAGATAAAACAGCCTCCCCTTTTTCATTTGCAGCATTTCCCCCTACATTTTTAATGAAGAGATTCTCAGTGTTTCTAACATTTTTAAGCTATTTTTGACATTTTAAGTGAGAAAAAATACTTTTTTTCCTCAACGTCTTGTTTATATCCAGAAAATCTTTCTCTTTTTACTCTTTCAACCACAGCAATATTTCTAAAGAAGACAGTGAAGATGATGGTGACGGAAACAGTGGTGACAATAACAGTAGCGATGATGATGATGATGATGATGATGAAACAGATGGTAAAGATGAGGACAGAGCTCCATCTTCGTCACAATTCTACATGGTCCTCAATGATTTAGAAGGAGAACAGGAAGGAGATCTCTCTATTCAGGTGGAGTACTTCCTGGTTCACTACTTCCTGGTAGTGATGTGCAGATCAATACTGCAATATCGACACTGCCAATACCAGAACTTTATGCTCTAGAATCGATACTAAAATCAAAATATTGATACTTTGGTACTTCAGTTATTTTACATAATGAATATCATTCGGAGGAAAATAGCGGAAAATAGCCAAACTATTCTAATCTTGTCGAAATCATATGTGGTTGGAGGGAACTACTTTTTCTTCCTCTTGGATAATGCATAGGCACTTGTGTGCTCAGTCAGTCGCTCAGTCTATGGCAGGTCATTTTAACATAAAATCTGCTTCGTCTGACTGTAATTATATTCTAGATGAGGAGTTCCAAAACTTTTTCATGCCATGACCCCCAAACAGCATTAGTTCTGGCCAAGGACCTATTTTATTTCTTTATTAAGTATTTTGCTCAGGGTTCCCACAGGTTCTTGAAATCCTTGAAAGTTTGCCAATTTCAAAAAATGAGTTCAAGGCACTGCAAAGTTTCTGAAAGCTGCTGTAAAAGAGACCCATCCTTGAAAGTCCTTGAATGTGTTTTGGAGAGTGCAGTTTCACATGGATGACTATTACTGTCAATGTGTCATTATGTTTTGTTTGTTCGGCACCGTTCTTGTGTTTCCTGTACATAGTTAATGTGTGCGTAGCAGCACGAGGATCGAGTGTGCAATGTTCTCACTGGTGAATTGGTGAATTTCCAGTCACGATGAGTCACAGTCATGGAGTCGGCGCTTTGAGAAATGAACCATTTTGCAACACATTTGCTGAAGATCTTCAAGGCTTCAACAAAACCTCATCTGCTTCACTAGACATCCCTGTTTTATGGATTTATGTAGGCTGTGAATTTTATCGCTATAAATGTAGGCTATACATTAAATCCACATTCTTTCATTTATTCTGACCCAACAAATTCTATGCCTTTCAGTTTTTTTTAATTGAATTTGCATTCTATTTAAATTGCTCATTGATACATATTCAGCAGTAGGTAGTTGTTATTGCATATGCTCCTTGAATTTAAAGAAACTGGTCCTGGAAGGTCCTTGAAAGGTCATTGAATTTGATGTTAACCAAGGCGTGGGAACCCTTTTTGCTGTTACAGAGAGGGGAAGTGTTGAGGATAATCAAGAAGACATCAGATGGATGGTGGCTGGCTCAGAACACCAAAGGCTACAGAGGAGTGGTTCCAAAAACGTTCTTAAAGGTAAACAGGCTGTCTCCAAATCAAACATCCAACAACTCTTTCACCTCCATTGTTTAGTCATACAGAGATTCAGCAGATGATCTTCTCATAAAAACACAAGTGGTGACATGAGGATACAAACTAATGTGGTTGTACGTATATTGAACAGGTCTTATGCTTTTGTCAAATGTTTCATTTTTTGACAAAAAAAGTAATTCGTAAACAATGCAAATGATCTAGTTTCTATGATATTTTATCACACTTTTATTGTTTTTGTGTTAGCTTGACTCTGAAATTGATGATGAGGATGAAGAGGACACAGAGGATGAGGATGAGAATGATGAAGATGAGGAGGAAGAAGAAGACGAAGTTGAGGAAAAGCCCTCTGATGATCAGGGAAAGGACAGGTGTGTGATTTAAGTTATCAAGTTTACATTAAAGTAACAACAGGCTCCTGAATTTGCTCTTTATTTATTTAAACGTGAAATTTAAACATTTTTGTCAATGTTATTAATTATCTAATCAGTCATATTTTTTAACAGCAAAGTTTCTAATTGGTCAACGGTCAGAAAGGCGCTGACTCAGGTAAAACATAGTGTTTCATTATAACCACTACCTGATGCTGCTGCTAATGTTCCTCATTGTTTTAAAGTATTATTAATTTAAATTTCCCTGCGTGTGTGTGTGTGTGTGTGTGTGTGTGTGTGTGTGTGTGTGTGTGTGTNGTGTGTGTGTGTGTGTGTGTGTGTGTGTGTGTGTGTGTGTGTGTGTGTGTGACAGATTGACACAACAGATGTGTTGTCAGCCATGGGAGCTATACCTTCAGGATTCAGATCATCAACTCTCAGTAAACTACTGGAGGAAGGTCAATATGCAGCAGGCGTGTGTGCCACCCCACTTTACATATGAATTCAGTGATATATCAATAGATTATTAACTAACATATTGTATTGAAAATGACTTCACTGTAGTCTCCAGGGTTATTATAGTTAACTAAAACTAACTAAATAACGAAAACTGAAATTGAAAAAAAAAACATTTTAGTTAACTAAAATAAATAAAACCTGTAATAAAATGTAAAAATGATAACTAACTAAAACTGTATAATTAATTTACATAACTAACTAATACTAACTGAAATTATAGACTGAATATCTATAGTTTTAGTTTTTTAGTGTCGCTGTAATGAACTGCGACCAAATAGCTGTTGGTTAGTTAACTCACAGGAACATCACAAGCTTGAGGATGCATTGGCAAATAAACTATATAAAAGAAAAACTAATACCAGAACTAATAAATAGTAAACTAAACTAAAACTAAGCATTATAAATGCAATAATAACTAATAAAAACTAGCAAATCCACTGTGAAAACTAATTAGAACTGACTGATATAGAAGAAAAAAAGCCACAACGAAAAAAAACTAACCTATAATGAAAAATCCAAAACTATTATAACCTTGGTAGTCTCAAACTGCATTACAGGTCGAGTAACTAAGTTTTTAGTTCGACTACAACCAATTAATTCTCAATTGTCAAAATCTTCAGGCTCGTCTGTTTTGGATCGTTTTGTTTAAAATGGTGCCTCAAAATTGGAAAACGAATGATTGAACGTATTATAGAACAGGGATGCCCAAACATTTTCCCCGAGAGGGCCAAAATGAAAATTTATCCAGGGCTGCGGGCCAAATGCATAACAAAATACATGAAATACAAGTACTTTTTTAAGTAAAGTCCTTTATTTCTAATGATTAACCTATGCAATGGCCGCTTTAGTTTTAGTCTGTGCACTTGGAGAAAGTCTGCCATACGCTCAAGTAGCAAAGGCTCGTGGGACATTTCATAAATTGATAAAAATCTGAGTTTTTGTGGCCTTATAAAGTGTGCATATAGATTTGCAAATCTATACGTGTGGTTAAATCTGATCTAAATATTTCTTGTCATTTCATGTTCATGTTTAACCATAATAAATCAAAGATAAAGTCAGCACCATGACTGAAAACTGCCTTCACTACAGCCCTTTTATATAGCCATTTGACCAATGGAAATACAGTGTTTCTACATAGGATAACAGGTTACAACCTTGCAACTTTGGCAACTGTTGGTGGGCCAAACCAAATGGCTTGGCGGGCCAAATTTGGCCCGCGGGCCCCACTTTGGGCTCCTCTGGTATAGAAGCAAGAGAAAACCTACCAGGGTGGCGATATTACAGTTATGGATTTGATGTTATGTTTGATTAAAAAGCCAAAACTGTTACTTTTTTTGTCTCGTTATAGATGTTCATTTCAAATGTAGTCACTATGTTCAGCCTGAACTCAGTGGATCACAGCTCTCCTTTAAAGACCTCTCTTTGGACACAGACACTGGCAGGGTGAGTGGATCCTTGTATGTGTTTAACAGGCTTTTTATGCCTATTTATGATTTTCACCGTATCTTTACAGTGTATGACATCTTAATAATACGGCTTCAGGAACATAAACAGTTCGGTCTCTTGTCACGCAGGTTCGGTCTCGTCAGGTCAGGACTTGTGTTTGTTTCACCTTGTGGAGCTGCAGGATGATTCCCTCTCCTGGAGTTGGACTTCAGGTCTTAAGCAGACACATCCGTCTCTGTGCCTTTGATGGAACTCAGGTGTCTCTGTCACGGATAAATCATCTGTATCACTTTTGTCCATTTTTTTTTAACTGAAGTCGCTCTTGTTTTACAGGTGCTAAGTAACATTCACACAGTGAGAGCATCATATAACTCGAAAAATCCAAAGACGTGGACCTTCTCTCCGATGGTATGAGAAGAGTCTAGCTGCAACTTTATAAACGCTAAAACATCAAACTTCTGTTTCCCTCGAATTGAGATGTGATGCTACAGTAGTATTTATTTATTTATTTATTTATTTATTTATTTATTTATTTATTTATTTATTTATTTATTTATTTATTAAGATGTCTGGCATCCTGCCCACCCTACTCGATGGAGACTGTTTCCTGCGCTCTGACTCTTTATCTCCTAACCTTGGGATTCTTTTTGAGCTTGGAGTCAGTTTTTTACGAAAAGTAAGACAACTTATATGATGCTGAGGAGATGCAAGAGGAGGTGGAATCCTTCCTTGTAGAAGTGAATGATTAAAAGTGAAGCAAAACATTTTAATATAGTTATGTGGTGTGTGTTTTGTTTTAGTCTACAGGTGAGAGGGGAGAGCTGAGTTGTGGATGGGCCTTCCTAAAATTGACTGATGACACTGGAAATCCAATCCCAAACAAGTACCTATACACAATATCTCACACAAAGATGTATTTGTGAATTAAGAGAAATGGAAAATGAAAATTAAACTAAATCTGATGTGTATAGGACTTATGAGCTGCAGGTGAACGGTGGAACGCCTTATGAGAAGGACGTCATTGTGGAGACTTCAACTAATCGGAAATGTGAGCGAAAACACGAAACAAATTTCACTAAATCTCACTTAATAAAAACGAGTTAAAAGTTTATTTTTTTCTCCTTTCTTCAGCTGTTTTCCAACAAATGCTTCAGGGCAAGCAGCAGCCCAAACTGAATGTTAAGCTGAAATCAACTAACAGCCGCACCAGAGCACAGCTCAGGTAGGAAAGGATCATTTGGACAAGCAACCCCCACAGAGCTGGAAAACCTGCAACAGATTATTTGATCGATAAGTTGCTCCAATCTTTAGTTTGACACATTCCTGGTTCTTCCCAGGATTGTTTAATAAGGTGCTTGTGTTTAACATGGAACCAACAATTTTCAGACCTCACAATTTTTGACCCTTTTTTTTGTCGTCTTACAGATTCAGTTTATTCTTCTTTCTTTAGTTGGCAAACACATTTCCTTCAACAGTCAACATATAAAAACACTGACTTCAGGATGCAGGTTTTCCAGCTAAACAGCATTGCTAAAAAAATAAAATTGAGGCCTATAGCATTTTTTTAAAGGAATTCACATTACCCACAGTTTTTCATGCCAGAGTTTTAGACTCATATCATGTTGTGAAAAGATGGAGTTGGAATATCTATAAAATAATGATAGAGTTAATTAACGTAAAAAGAAGCATCAGAATAAGACTGCATGAAAGTTCAGTTGGAAGTGTCCATTAAGTGTTCTAAAAATGTCCATAAATCAGATCTATGTAAGTTTAATAAGTTTAGTTCTGCTTCATCATCAGTCTGAACCGTAACGAACTGTGGACGAATTAAAAAAGACTTGTTGCCAGTGAAGATAAGTGACAAATACATTTGTGTCTTCAGTCTCCTCCCAGACACTCTGCTGTACTGTCTGAACTGTGTCCACCTGCTGGTTCTGCACCGACAGCTGCTGGCTGACACCCTGCTGATCGACAGGCCCACCATGCAGAATGCAGGTATCACTCAGCTTCAGTGCCTCAAACCACACACTTGGTATTTTTTTTACCCCAGCTCTTAGTAAAACTGCATTTGTGTTTTAGATCCTATAAGCAGTCCGATCCTCTCAACGTTTCCTGCGCTGTTGGACCAGACAGACCTGCTGGATGCTCTCAGGGTGAGAGGGAGGGGTTTGTAGTGATGCTGCTTCAAAGCTGTTAAACAGAGTTTTGTTTCAGTCTTTTTTTTACCTTGTAAAGTCAGTTTTCAAGATGTTGAGCTAAATTTTGGGGTGGTCTAGATTAGTGGTTCCCAAAGTGGGGTCCTGAAACATCAAGGTGGGGTCCTGAAAAGATTTTCTAAATTAATTACATTTTTGCATTAGTTGTTACCTAAAATGCATAAATGTAGAATAATAAATTTGTTACTATGCCCATGTTTAGTTGACCTGATACAAATGTTTATCATCCAAAAATAGTTGGGGGCACAGGTCTCTGCTACTGTTAGTTTGTGGGTCAAAAGCTGGAACGTTTGGGAACCACTGGTCTAGATCCACAATACATGCTTTGGACATTACACATTGTGCAACATTTTTGCTCAAAATCTTAGCAACAATTTAGTCAACGCTGTCCGTTTGTTAGCAAAATATCTCATGAAACAGTGGACAGATTTGAACGAAACTCTCAGAAACTAATCCTTGATTGTACATCTACAGCTGATTAACTTTTGGAGTCAATCCAATTCAGAACTAATCAACCTCAGCTCAGCCAACACAAAAAATGGTGACATCTATTAGCTTTTGAGCTAAAGCTTGATGTGGCTGAGAGTCAACTGCAATTTATACCCCGAGCCCCAAAAACCTTGCTGGGCCTTTTAATTATTTAGTTTTTGTAACAACATCAAATATAATGAAATTGGATTTACACCCAATCTTTAATGCAATGTGTCAAACCTTAAAACCATTTCTTTCTTTCAGATTTCCTGGATGGAGGCTGAAACTAACATGAGCAGAGCACAGAAGGTTCGTATGCTTCCCTTATTTTGTAAGATTATTTAATTTCAGATTTTATAGTTCTATACATATATAGTAAAATTTAGGCAAGTTTTGCCCACTTTTGGTATCTGTAGGGTTGGAAACCAAACTCAGTGTGTAATAGTAAAACAGGCCTGCAGAGGACGCTGTTAGAATGAGAGAGAAATTGGATTTTCTCTAAAGTATTAAAATGTGTTCATCCTGTTTGAGTGTTAACTCCACACCGTGTATGTGTTTTTGCAGAGAGACTTGACATATTTGAAGCAGGAGTTTAGTAAAGTCTACATGTCTGTGTATTTCCTGCTCAACTCGCCTTCGCTGCCCTGTTATCGCTGGGCGGACCCACCCTCTGAGGAGCAGCGGGCCAGAGTCATCTATGCTGCTTTGGAGGATCTCAAAAAGTACCAACACACCGCCAGACAATCAGGAGGTCCAGAGATCTTTTTTGACTCAGATCATTCACATTTTGCTTTTGATGTCCAAGAGTGCACCTTTGACCTCTTAAATGCTGCACGGTGAGAATAGTTTCACGTCACTGTGCCGTGGGATAAGAACTAACTTTATATAGTTTTAAAGTCATGTTTAATGTAACAAAGGGACAGTTTTATTTGGTTCTTAAGAAGAATACCATTCTTAACTGTGCCATTAGTTTATTTTGGAGGATGTTAACACGTTTAACAAAAAGGTGAAAACCTGAAATAAAGTTTGCAACACTTTCACATACGACAAGCACCAGTTTGTGAAAGAAAAAACATGTTTTAATCGCAAATGTTTTTCATAAACACTAGGTGTTTTAGTAAATTATTTGTGATAGATATACATAAAATACACACACACACATATATACATATACACTATACAGTATTGTTTTTTTTTCTCCCTGCTGATTATTTCTGAAATGTTCGGTAATAGTCTGAAATAAAAGGTTTGCATATTTTACAAGGCCTAACTGTATGGGACATTCTCTTAAAATAAACCTTAAAGTAATTGTTTATGTATTTATTTATTTATTGGCTCAATTGTTGGATTGTTGCAACATGTTCACCCGAAGCTGCTTTTTCAGCCGTGTCCTCTGACAGGTCACTGAGAAACTTCAGTCATCTCCACCCTTTAGTTCAACATCAGTTATGTGTATGCCTTTGTGCGTGTGCGTGTGTGTGTGTCTGTGTGAAAGGGGTGTAGTATAGGATTACAGAACACCAGAACAGTGTTCAGAGTTAATAATTAGTTGGCGTGAGTTTTTTTTTAGCCTGGTATAAAAGGAGAGGAGAAGTGGGAGGTTGAAGCAGTGTGAGCTCAGATGGTTGTGGTTTCACATCCAAAGTATCGTTAAATGATACTTTATAAAAGGACTGTAAAATTAATCGAGTTAACTCTGATTAATTTAGTGCTGCATGGGCAAAGATTAAAAATTTCAATCGCGTTTAAAATTTACAATTAAAAAATTTAATTGCGATTAAAATTTACAATCACTTTACTGTGGCTGAATATGTAGGTTTGTATATTGCAATGCACTCAGTGCATGTCAGGTCATGTTTGTAAATGAGAAGTGATTCTCAGACAGTTTACTTGGATAAATAAAGGTTAAATAAATAAAAAAAACTCCACGTGTAACACATTATGTATATATATATTTTTTCTTTTTGTCTTCTTGTGGCTTATTTTATTTTATTTATTTATGTTTTGCTGACAACTGTGGCCTTAGTATCTGTCTTTCATTCCTCATGTAGTACTCATTTGGAATGAAAATCCTTGAATTCTTGATTTAGCCATTATTCTGCACAAAATTTAACTGACTCAAATATGTTTGGGGCATTTTTAGGTCCTGATTTCTGTTGTTTTTGTGCAATTGAGGTGATATTTTTCATGATTTATTATTGTTGAATGTATTTCTCAAGCACCAATTTTGTGTGTGTGTATGTATGTTTGTTGTAACTAAATATTTACAATGTACTTTCATAGACTTTACTTGCTCAGACTTAAATATTTGTTCAAACTACTGAAATTTAGCTGTGAAAATGCTGTGTGAATGTTGATTGCTGAATGACTAAATTTGCTGAAGAAGCTGAAACTTGGTAAAAGAAGCAAAATAGCTGAAAGAAGCAAACTGCCAGCTAAAACCAAAAGTAGCACAACTAGTTAAAAGTAGCCAACAGCAAAACATGACCTTAAAGCTCAAAGTGGCAAAAGAGAATAAGAATCTAAATGAAACAACGACTAGCAAAATGCTAAAAGTAGCAAAAGGCTGTCTAAAAGCCAAATGTAGCAAAAGGCTAACAAAAAGTTAAGGTAGTAAAAGACTAGCTACAAGCCAATGCAAAATGGTTGCTAAATGCTAACCATACCACACACAAAAAAAAAAAAAAATAGAGCAAATTAGCATATCTGAAGCATATTTCAAATAAACAATGTTTTTGAAGAAATTAAAAAAAAAATCTCAATGTGTCTTTATTGGAAAATATTTGTAAAGAAAGATGAATAATAAAAAAAATTAAGTGACAAAAAAGTCAGTATTTCCAGTTGAGTGGAAGATAGTGACGAAAATAGCAAATGCAAAAGTAGCTAGATTGTACAGAGCCGGTCCGGTGATATGGAACTTTAAAAAAAATATATCAGAAGATAACAATGCGTGCCCAAGCCCTGACTAACGTTAGTCATTGTGTGCGCATGACATAATTAACCTGTGCCCACAAGATAATTAACGTGTGTTCTGTACGCGATAATTATGTCGTGGCCACCACATAGCTAAATATTGTTGTCATTTCCGTGCAGACTGTCTGTCTGAATTAAACTAATTTATTTTGTTTTTAATATAATGAATGATGTTCTACGTCAGCACCTTACATAGCTATTTTTTAGCTTTATGTGCTGCAGTTTTAAGTCCCAGGTGGCAACTGGAGTTGTTTATTTGTCGAAAAAGCTCTATTTTCTTCTCTTGAAGCTCAACTTCCAAAAGATGAGCTACAAAAAGGTTAAGGTAGCAAAAGACGAGCTAAAAGCCACTATTTGCAAAATGGTTTCGAAACGCTAACCGTACTGTCTTGGAAGTCTTTTTTTTTTTTTTTACCTAGACAGAAACACGAGATCCAAGAACAAAAAGTACTCCATGAAAGGTCAGTCAGGATTTATTGTAAAATGCAAGACACACATCATGTCACACAGGCAGTGGTACAGAATGTGTGCACTGAGGCAGTTTCAAATACATGCATTTATACAAAATATTATCAAGACAGACAATAAACATCTCTCTTGGTGCTAAAACTGGGCCAAGGAGAGAATGATGTTGGATAAACACATGAATGATTACTTCTAACAGATATTTTCTTGATCTTAAAACACTCTGTCCGAGAGAAAACAGAAGATAAAGAGTAAATTCATAAAACACGATGACATTTTAAGTAAGCAAAAGAGGTCACTGACTCTTGGCCTGAGAAGAAATGTAAGACTTTAAAGGATAATTTATTTTTCTAGAACACGTACCATACAAAAAGTAGAGCAAGTTTAGCAAATCAGAAGCATATTTCAAATAAAACAATGTTTTTGAAGGAATTAAAAAATCTCAATATGTCTTTATTGAAAAATATTTGTGAAGAAAGGTGAATAACTATAAAAAAAAATCAAAGTTACAAAAAAAGTCATAGTATTTCCAGTTGCAAAAGCAGTTAGATTGTACGGAGCCCGTCCGGTGACATGGAATGAAAAAAATTATCACGTGGCCACAAGATAATAATGCGTGCCCAAGCAATGACTAAAGTTAGTCATTGTGTGCGCATGAGATAATTAACGTGTGCCCACAAGATAATTAACGAGTGCATACACGATGTCGTGGCCACCACATAGCTAAACATTGTTGTCATTTCCGTGCAGACTGTCTGTCTGAATTAAACTAATTTATTTTGGTTTTAAAAGAATGAATGACGTTGCTACATTAGCACCTTATGTGCTGCAGCTAGAAGTTACAGGTGACAAGTGGAGTTGTTTATTTGTCGAAAAAGCTTTAATTTTTTTTTTTGAAGCTCAACTTCCAAAAGATGAGCTGAAGAGTAGAACTTCAGCTGCGGAAGGAGTCGGAGTTATGCAGTTGAAGAAAATTTTGTAACTGATTAATTGAATGTTAGATGCAGTATTGTATTCTATACTTTCTGATCATTTCAGCCTTTAAGGTTAAAATAGACAGAGTTGGTGTGTGTCTTAACATGTTCTTTCTTTAGCCTAAACAAAAATGAGTTGCATTCTGACGTCTGTTATTTCTACAAATTTGTGCAATTTGTTTTAAAACATACATTCATCCATTATTTTTCTTTCCTCGCCTGATTCTGCAGGTCATTGGAGCTGGTGCTTGCCTCCAGCAATCATTGGTTAATAAAGGAGTTCTCCTTGGTGGTTTCCAACCCAACAGGGTGATCTGTTCACAAGTTATTCCTATTTTGCTCTGATGTCTGTGATTTATTTTAAATGTTAGGAAAAAATAATAAGGAACAATATAAATCTGAAAGCATTGATTGATTTTAACTTTCGTCAAAAAAAAGCCATCATTATTTTGATAGTTGTGTTTTTTTTTTACGCTTGTTAAGCAACACATTTTAGCCTCAACAAGACCTGTTATCCTGAGAACAATGGTAAGAGACAGAAAGCTGGCAAGTATAATGGGCCAATAAAATCTAATAGGTGTATATTTGTGAAAGAATGAGTAACTAAATAAACCACATCATACAACACAATTTCAAGTGCTTGGGGCTGCTGTGGGGTCATTTGAAGTGCTGTTTTTTTACCATATCATATGCTGCAAACTGAGCCAAGTCTGCATGGGTGGAGGCCAAGAAGGACACCTGTACTGAAAGAAAGACCTAAAAAGTCTAAACTGATGTTTTCAAAGATTCTTGCAGATAGGCTCAAATATTTGTGGCACATATAATGGTGAAAGATAAAATATCAAAGATGATCTCGTTGGAGTTTTCTTTCATTCTTTCTTTCCTTTGCATCCCAATGAGGCCAGTAAAACATGCAAGAAGTTCTACCCTGCTGGGGCCCCGGATCCCTATATTTCCAGTTACCTGTTCTCCAGTACAATGCTTGCATTGTAAGTATTTTTTTCATTATTTTTTCATTTGTTTTAAAGATGGAGCAAGCATCTTTCATGACTTTATTAACTTTGGGAAAACATAGGTACTGGGTAAATTAGGTACCAGTTGAAATAGGTACTAGGTAAGGTACCAGGAAATAGCACAAGACTAAATTTATAGAAGTAAACATGAAGGAAGTTTCCAATGCATTGTACTCGTAAGGTTTTTCCACAAAACCTGTTGAACGGATCACTTCACTTCTTTTACATAAAAAGTGTAAAGATTCACTAAGTATAATAATAACGCACCAGAAAGAAGCACATAAACTTAAGCAGGAAAGTGAAGTAAAATGTCCACTTCTGTAAAATAAAATTACCTTCAGCTGATAGATTAATAAAAACTAAAAGAATCAGTAACAAGACGGCACATTTATTGCTGTTTTTATGATTTTTACAATTTGTATGATTCACAATCCAGAAAGTCATGTTTCATATTTCTTAAAACAATCTCAAAACATATGCATCTTGAAGAATTATAAAAATGATAGCTGATTTGTAAACACTGACTTTCAAAATAAAAGTCTTTCCTTTAATCCAAACAGATGAGAAATGCAGGTTCCTTAGAACACGATGATGAAACTAATTGTCCTGTTCTCTGTTTTCCTTATTCTTCGTCACATAATGTTCTTTTTATTCTTCCCCTTGATAATTAATTATGAATTAAGTGAAATAAGACCTAAAGTGGTTAAAGATGCAACAAACAGCAGTAATCTTGTAATTCTCTCTTGGAAATCTTAAATAATATTAAAATTCAACGGTATCTTAGGTTTGTCTTTACTACCAGCCCAACACTCAACAAACAGAGTTCAGGGACACACCTTGAAGCAGCTCCTTGGTTTTAGATCTGGTTACAAACCACACACACACACACACACACACACACACACAC